TGCTAAAAACACTTCTGACTTACTTATCTTAATATACTTAGAAATATATTAACTCCAGATCTCACTTGGGTTTTTCAGAGTTAAACCTACTCTCTATAAGTCCCCAACACGTTCCCTGGCTGACTTTCTAACAATTTGCCCTCCATATTCTACTGTCACATCTCCATGATCCAAAATGTTATCTCAGGGTAACTTCCTTTCACTTCTCATGTCTTATTATTCTTTTAAATATACATATACCTGTTCTTAAAGATTTTTCTCTTTTCTTCATACTGGGCTCCAAACTCCCCTTTCTAAATTTTTCTTGTTTAGCTTTACTTTGGTATGCTTATTTTGGGGGTTAGGGAGCCCTGTATTTATTTCATACTTAACGTAAGTACATTACAAAAGAACAGACGTTTTACAGTAAATAAAAGTGAGGGTAATTTCTGTTTTTTAATCTAAATATTAATGTCCTTTCAGTATTTTGAGTTCAGTGAGTTGCACAGAAATAATTTTAATAGATTACAAAAATAGAAATTGATAAAAAAACTAGTTTTAGACTTATCATCGACATAGCATTCATTAAACCCTAGGATGGTGAACATTTTATGAGAATAGAGATTCATGTAACTTGTGTTTTAAAATTTTCCCCAAGAAATTTATATGGCACATTTTATGTAATTACTAAGAAAAAAGTAATTTAGAGAAGGTAATTTTAAGGGATAGGAGGAGGTTCTTTTCTTTTCCTACCACTCAACAAATATTTAGGGAATGCCTGGTTTGTGCTGGCAGTGTTTTCAGCACTGTTGAGTATGGTTGATACAGTGGTGAGGGGGAAGATTTTTAAAGGCAGAATAATCATATACTCACAAAAGTAAAGTTATAGCTATGATAAATGTTACAATTAGAAGAATCTCATGCTAGGAAAGTGTGTTTTCATGGTCCCTGACCTGGTCAGTGAAGGTAGGAAAACTGTGCTACTTAGTACATTATTTTGAACTATTGGCCTACTCTCCCACGAAAATTTCAGTTCCTTAGAAACAGGAACCATGTCATTTTCATGTCTGTTTGCAATGCTTGCCATATAGTAGTAGCTTTAAATTAAATCTATTAAATCTGAGGTGTACATATCATGGAAATTTTAGGTTAAAATATCTGCCATTTTTCAGTTTATATCTTATAGAACAGAAAGAGAAAAACAGATCTTTATTTTTAAAATAAACTTGTCTTTGTGTAGATTCGTGGTACTCTAAAGAGCTGGACCAAGTTGTGGTGTGTGTTGAAACCTGGGGTGCTACTGATCTATAAAACACAAAAAAATGGTCAATGGGTAGGAACGGTCCTTCTGAACGCCTGTGAAATCATTGAGCGTCCATCAAAAAAGGATGGCTTTTGTTTCAAACTTTTCCATCCTCTGGAACAATCTATTTGGGCAGTGAAGGTATGTAAGTACTTGTTATATAGGTAAAAGGTAAAGATGACAAAATATGAGTAGAACTGAAATAAATCATTGAAGTGATTTTTGTCCTCTGCCAGGCAGCAATTATAAATTTATTTCTACTTTCAAGTGCATTATTCCCCATTCTGTCTCTGCCCACAGTGAAATGTGTGCCAAAAGGCTTTGTTTACCTTTAAGATCTAACTTTAAAAATTTCTCCAGAAAATGTTTCTCAAATTTATATTGCTATCTTATTATCTTTTTTTGTCCTTGAGATTTCAGTTTGTACTAAGGCTTTTTTCAATTTATGTTTGCTATTAATAACTCTGCTTTGTGACATTGTATCATGTTACCATGGATGTTTTTTCCTCTTTATCAAAATGGTAAGATTCCTTAGAATGGAAACTGCCCTTTATTTTTGTGTTTTTTTCTGTGGTGATTTAAATGTGTGATGGGAGGCCTATAAGCAGAAGCAGTCCTAATTAGTGTTAAGGGAGGCAGATTTCTTTAAAGATGGAGCTCTATTACTTTCATAAGTAAAAAGCATTACTGTGGTCACTCCTGTGCTATGAAAGCAGAAAAAAACAGGAAATGAAAATGCCTCATTTGATTAACTACCAAGGAATTCTACAGACAGTAAGCATGTAGCACATGGTAACTGAATAAATGAACCTAGTTTAGTAGTTTCTAAGAAGGTCAGTTACACTTGAATAAAGGGTTTAAAACTCCTTTAAGGAAAACCACCTAACTGAGGCTAACTAAAAGTAAAAAGTAGCTAAAGTAAAAAGTACGAAAAATAGCTTCACCTTTTTTTGTTTTTTATTGCTTAACTGGGCAATGTATATACACCTAGGAAAATATCTGAACTTTTAATTTCAGTAGTATGTAAACATCAGAATATTCCCCACAAGCAAAACCTACTTAGGACATTGTTTAAACATTTTGAAAGCTTGTGTTTGTGATTAAGAAATAACATTCATAAGTTCTTTTGGTCAGGTACTCTTTTTTGAGCATTTTATGTGGAATCTTTTATCTAATTCTCATACCTATGAGGAGTATACAGTTTCCTCCCGTTATACAGATAAAGAATTGAAGCCTAAAGAAGTTATTACTAAAGTAACTTTTCTTACATGGAGCCAATATTGAAACCCAAGCAGGACTCTATATCCTACTCTATACTGGTTGTAGGAACTGGCCCATAAATTATAAAACTGAAAATTCCCAGGGCATTATAGTATTTGTTAAAGCCATATTGATTTTTTTTCTGCTTTTTCATTTTAAAGCTACATCTTTA